TAAAAAGTATTTAAAATACAAGAAACAAAAAAACAATATAAAAAGAGGAGAAGTAAAATTGCCATTATTTGCAGATGATATAAAACTATATATAGAGTATCCTAAAGATTCCAAAAATATATTAGAACTGATTAATTAATTCAGTAAAGTAGCAAGGAAGAAAATTAATAATCAGAAAATGGTTGCATTTTTATACACCAATATTGAACTATCAGGAAGACTTTAAAATTAAGAAAACAATCCCATTTACAATTGTATCAAAAAGAATAAAATATCCTTTTTTATTCTTTTTGAATAAATTTAACTTATACTCAGTAAGCTATAAGATATCAAAGGAAAAAGTATTAAGGTAAATACAAAGAAATGGAAGCATAAACTGTGCTCATGGATAAGAATAATTAACATTGTTGAAATGTCTGGACTGAGCAAAGCAATCTACAAATTCAATGCAACCCCTACCAAAATACCAATGACATTTTTCACAAAACTAGAAAACATAATCACAAAATTTATATGGAACTACAAGACCCCAAATAGTAAAGCAATTTTGAGAAAGAAGAACAAAGTTGAAGGTTAACTACTTTATGTCAAACTATAATATAAAGCTGTAGTAATCAAAATAGCATATGGGCCTGGCTGGTGTGGTTCACTGGATTGAGCACTGGCCTGTGGACCAAAAAGTTGCTGATTCAATTCCTAGTCAGGGCACATGCCTGGGTTGTGGCCCAGGTCCCCAGTTGGGGATGCTTGAGAGGGAACCACACATTGATGTTTCTCTCCCTCTCTTCCCCTCTCTCTAATAATAAATTAAAAAAAATTTTTAAGCATATGGTCCTAGCATAAAAATAGACACACAGATCAATGGAACAGAATAGAGAGTTCAGAAATAAATCCATGCCTACATGGCCAATTAATATATGAATAAGGCAATATGCCACAAAGGAAGGACATTTTCTTCAATAAATGATGATGGAAAAACTGGACAGATGCAAAAAACAAAACAAACAAAACAAAATAACAACAAAACCCAAAAAACCTAGACGACTTTCTTATACCATATACAAGAATACATTCAAAATGAATTAAATATTTAAATGTAAGATCTGAAACCATAAAACTCCTCGAAAAAAATATAGGCAGAAAACTCTTGGACATAACTCAGCAATAGTTTCTGTATGTGTCTCGAAGAACAAGGGTAACAGAAAAATAAACAAATAGGACTATATCAAACTGGTAAGTGTACAACAAAGGAAACCATCACAAAAAGAAAAAAACAGTGTACTGAATGGCAGAAGATTTTCACCAATGGTGCGTCCAATAATATAATAATATTATATATATTAACACTATATATATATATTCACCAGTGGTGAATATGTATAAGATTTTCACCAGTGGTGCGTCCAGTAAGTGTTAATATATATAATATGTTATATAAAACATAATATATAATATATAAAGAACCCATACAATTCAACATAAAAAAAAATGCTGATTAAAAAATGGGGAGGTGACCTGAACAGACATTTCTCCAAAGAGGACTTACAGATGGCCAAAAGACATATGAAAACATGTTCAAGATCACTAATCATCAGGGAAATGCGAATTGAAACCACAATGAGATATCACTTCACACCTGTGAGTGTGGCTATCATCAATAAATCAATAACAATTGTTGGTGAGGACAGGGAGAAAAAGGAACTCTCAGGCACTGTTGATGGTGTTTAAATTGGAGTAGCCACTGTGGAAAATGGTATGGAGATTCCTCAAAAAATTAAACATGGAACTCAGCAATTCTACTTTTGGGTATTTACATGAAAAAATTCAAAACCCTAATTTCAAAAGATATATGCACCTATGTGTTCTTTGCAGCATGATTTACAATAGCCACTGTATGGAGGCAACATCCACTGATAGATACATTGAAGAAGGTAATGTGGTACATACATACAACACAATATTACTCAGCCATTAGAAAAATGAAATCTTGTCATTTGTGACAGCATAGATAGACCCAAGTATATTATGCTAAGTAAAACAAGTCAGACATAAAAAGACAAATACTGCATGATTTCACTTACATGTGGAATCTAAAAAACAATGTAAGCAAAGAAAACAAACAAACTCATAAATACAGAGAATGAAGTGATGATTATGAGCCGGGAGGGGGATGGGGGTATCGGTGAAAAGGTGAAGGAATTAAGAAGTGCCAATTGCCAGTTATAAAGGCAGAGCCAGGGATGTAGAGGACGGCACAGGGAATTTAGTCAGTAATACTGTAATGACTATGCACGGTGTCGGATGTGTAGACCTAGCAGGGTGGTCACTTCGTAAGCCAGAAATGTCTAAGCATTATATCATACTCCTGAAAATAATATACATTGCATGTCAATGGTAATTAAAAGTTTTAAAAAATAATTAAGTAATTAAACAAAATAAATCCTGGCTCTGCCATGTACCAGCTGTTTGAATTTGTGAGGACTGAAGCAGAGCATACCTCTGAAGCTCCAGGAACAGTGTCCGGCATGGAGCAAGTGACCAATAAATTTTATTTCCATTATATAAAATACACTGAATTAGGATTTTGTAAATAACTTAAATAGGATTAAAGGATTTTTATGTCAGAATATTTACCAAATAATGATTTTTCATATCTTAGTTAAAACCAGATTAATTTAGAGACCAAAAAGATACAATTGTAGCGATTGGTGCCATTTGCCCATTTCTTGTGGTTTTCCCACTTCTAGGCATGTGGTTGGTTAGTTCCTCCCTGGCCCCTTGGCATTTGTTAGCTGTGACCATTTGACTGACTGACTTTCTTTGGACAATGAAATAGGAGTAGAAGTGTAACGTACCACTTCTGGAGGAAAATGTAAGACCCAATATATTTACAGCCTGTCACTCTCTCTTTGCATGGAGAAGCCCGGGAATGTGTTAGAGATGGGTGGGGAATATAAAACTTGGTTTCTTCTTCGCATGAACAGTCTAAGACGGAATACCTAGTTCGGTGAGTTAGGGGATTGATGTGAGGAAAGATACTGAGACTGGAGGGTAGATGTAACAATCTGTGTGGAGCAGCAGAAAACAGGTAAATCCGGCTGCCAACACTAGACTTGGTTTTTCTTGTATGTGTTTTATGGAATTTTTCTACTGTATATCTGATACATTAACCAAGTAGAACAAAATGAAATATAAAATAAGAGATATTCTTTAACATAAATAAACCTACATCCAAAGTGTCTTAAGACCAGTCATTTTATATTCAACAAAATATACAGTTATGCATGCAGTATAATTGAAATAAGAAAACATAAAAATAGAATATATTCTATTTTAACTAGCCAAATGGAGTATATTTGTATAATGGCAAATGAAAACAATATATTATATATATTTATAATTTTAAATATTATATAGTTTTAAATATTATCAATTTATTATTTTTTTAAAACGATAACATTTAAAGAACTGGCTCTTCTCCTATGTAGTGTACTATATACATCCAGAAAATCTTTCCACAGTTGAATCACAACATTCTTGACCTTCAAAAACTTCAATTCCAGAAATCCTACTTTAAGTGAAAAAAACAAAAATTTAAAGACTCCAAGAAAAGCAATATTCTACCTTTGGCCTCAAAGTGTATTTTGAAAGATTTGAAATAGAGAAGACGAAAATAACTGCAATCTTGGGTCAGAAAAGATTTTTCTCATACACCATCATTTTACTTACAATTGAAGAAAATTAAAAAAAAATTTGGACATTAGGATTACCATTCCATTTCAATAGACTATCATTCTCAAGTGAATGGTGGAAACAGAGCAGGTGAACATCACCTAATCCTACTGACTGACATGAAAATGGGATCTCCAGGAAAATAAACTAATAGTATTTGCTTGAAGAAGAGTCCTAATTTAAGGATATTTTAATAGCATGTACACACCATAATATGTAGACAATTAGTATCTGTGTGGCACATTTATTTCCAAATGAAGTTATATGTTCTCTCAAGTTCCTCTGCTTCTGTTAGTAAAAAATAAATAAATAAATAAATAAAAAAGTACACATAAATCTTTTTCCAGGTCAGAAATCCTTGTGCCTTATGAAGAAGAAACTTCTATGAAGGGCCTGAGTAGAAAGGCAATATACATTTATTCATTCTCCCTGATCATAATATTCAAAATATATTAGTCTGTACACCTTCAGATTGTTTATCAAAGTTCAAGCTACCTGCTATTCTTCCTTACAGGGTGCAGGAACACTTCCTTTATTTCTTGAGACTTACAGTTCTTTAAATATTAAAAACTAAAAAAAAACAAAAACACTAAACTAAATCTTAGAGGGAAGTATGGCAACAATGACTTTACCCTTGCTGCAATCCTTGTTTTTCTCCATCGGAATTCATTCAGCATGCATTCGTCATTTCATACATGTGTGTGCTCTGACCACAATGTTTATAAATCAAAGATGCAATGAATAGCTTTCAAGTGTTAGGAACAGTCACCAAAAAGTATCTTATTATCATTGGAGCCTCCTCTTCATAAACCTCCTCTATGAGCATCAATATACAGCACTCAACAGGAAAACAGGGAAGCAGAGAAAAGTTTTCACACAGTAAAGGTAAGAGAATACCCAGTAGATGTACTCAATGTTTGATTTGGGGTTAAAAAATAAGGTGCTTATATTTCTTTTTCCCCCATTTTACAGCCTACCTTACTCCATAACAATTAATGGTATAAATGTATTATGCAAATTCAGATACTCAACAGGCATAGGACAATCTAACAGTTCCCTGTGCTTATTAATGTCAAGAACATCAGTTCTTTTCAATGGAAGATACATATGTCAACCTACCTTTGACATGTGGGCATCTCTCAACTATATATATCAGAAGAAATTGGTTTGTTTGAAAATATATGAAATACTATTAACAGTTTTCTTTAAATGGTTCCAGTATATCATAATGGTGATTGCTGTTACCAAAAGGCACCAAGGAAGAGAGAAATTTTTTATTTTTTATTTTTAGAAAGACTGATTAGACATGAAAAATTAAGATAGGCTGGAACTATATTTAGAAAGTCCTATAAGGACAAATAGGCACAAAATACAAAACATGAAAAGCATCCCTTTGTTAAATTTGGACATTCCTGCTTCCAGTTTGGACATTGCTAGCATCCAATTAAGTGTGGGAAAGGAAGTACATTTTGTTTTCTACATAAACAATGTTTAAAACAATATCAAATTTAGGTAGTTATGCAAAATTATATAATTTTGAACAGTTTAGCAAGGAAGTTTTCATGTGTCATAATAAAATCCATATGTGCACAATAAATGTTATTTTAGAATTATCAAAAATCTTTTAAAACAAGCATATGTCATAATTTTAACCAAGAAGAATAAGTTGCTTATATTTTTAAAATATGCTAAATAAAAACATTTAACATGCATATATTTCAGGGAACTACAAATTAAATTTTCAGAATCATTTTAAATATAGATAAAAATATGTGTTAACAACTGTAAAAATATCTAGCAAAGGTGTCCAGGTTTTCCTTCTTAGAACTTCTCTATATTTAAATAAATATTTCTTAGTATCATAAAATTATTTCCTTAGCTTATATATTACATATCTTAGTTAACCATTAACATGATAAATCATCAAAATTATTTCTGACCCATACATAGATTTAGAGAAATTCAAGTTTTAATAATATAACACATATACAGTATATAGTTACCTATATATTTGCACATGTAATATTGAATACATCTATAATTTGTCATATTGAGGTTTACATTCATGCAATCCATGAGCATTCTGAAATCAGGAAAACAAACAAAATCCTGACCTTTGATTTGGAATACCTGAGCACAGTCTATGGCTCTGACACCTGTTAGAAAGTCTCTTGAGAAAGTCACTCAACCTCTTCAAACTCTGCTTTTCTTATTTGGAAAATGAATATAGTTAAGCTTTTCCCACCTCTTATTTTCAGCTGATGATTGTCAAGCATAAATATTCAGGCATAATTGTAAAGCACACAGTGTTTCCTGTCAGCAGTAAATACTGAGGTTGCACTATTTGCAACAGGCAGATGCACTTTGATGCATCTTCCTTCTTCTTTGGGGAATAATTATCAACCTTAGTTTTATTACACCCTGAGATATAGTACAGCAATGACAATGGTTCTCACACACTTCTCTAAAAACAATAACAACACCCCATGTTTATCCCTGATTTTAATTCACTTTTAATGTAATCAATAAATACAAAACATTTTATGGCAAATGGACAGATTACATAATAAAGATTGTGAGAAAATCCAAATATGTTTCTCCATGAAAATAAAATTAACCTGTTTTCCAAGCAGGCAGCACTGAAATGTCTTACTGGTGTTAAAGAGAAATCATAGAATTGTACCATTTGAAGTAGGTATCTTTTTTTTGTTTGTTTTGTTTTGTTTGTAGTCTGTATTGATAGCTTCTGCTACATTGCTTTTGAGGCAAAAAGTACCTTTCTTTATTGACTTAATCTATTTGCTAATACAAAGGGTTTTTTTTCTTTGTATCTTAGTCAAAATATCTTTAATTGAAATCTTTCTTCTTCAAAACGATATTTACTTTTCCAGTTGATAAAAATCTTACCAGGCAAGTTCTTTATTGTAGGTGATGGGGGTTGTTATACTGTCTACATTTAAAGGTTTCAAATATAAAATAGAACAATAAAAAGAAAGAGAAAGGGATAGGATAGAAGAATAACCTCTAGAAAACTGTTACAGAAACAGGTTTTGAATCTGGAATCATAAAAGGTGCTGCTTTAAGTGGCAAAGTCAACAAGGAGGTGTAGAATGTTTTTATGTAAATAAATAATTATAATTTGATTTTAATACTGTAGTTTAAACCCAGCATTTGATCATGCACATTATATGTTACATAGTAGTTCAAATAATTCAAGAAATTTTATAACATATTTCTGAATGATGCTACCATTGACCATGATTATTTCATTGCTTCTCTTCTCAGCTCTGCAACTGTTCTGTTCCCCTGAACCCCGCCCACAACACTGAGCCACTCTCTGGGTTCCATCACTCATCCCTGCAATAAACCACCACATTCAAGGGTGCCTTGTTGCCTCCTAGCCACTTGATAATCAAAGTGAACTATTATAGAAAGTCAGCAAACAGACACAAGCCAAAATCAGGTGGAGGTGGCAAGTCCAGGAGATAGGCTTTCATTCATTGACACATTCAAGAAACTTCCCTGAATGTAAGATTCACATCCAAAAAAGTTTCTTCACTTGTTTAGCGATATAGGTTTTTGATTTTCTGTAGTTAGAATGTACCTCTTCATTATTCCATTTGAAGACATATTGCTTTCATCTTTTTATCTCAGTACAAGAGAAAATAGAGACCATTCAGTTCTTCAGTAGAAACTGTAGCACTTGGATGGGAGAAACTTGAAGCATTTTTATAAACTTACCCAATGTACATAGAAGATGTGGTAAAATTAAATGAAGACTACAACCACAGAGACAAATCATATGGATGAGAAACTTGAACAAAAAATATATACTGCCAAGTGGAATATTACATTTCAGAATAGTCGCACATAGAAATAATTGTAAAATAAAAGTCTATTTTTGTTTTAAAAGTACAATAAGAATAAGGTAGGGATGTGTTAGTTGAAACTTCTATAAATATTTTATACAATTTGTAAAAATGCAAAAAATGCATATTTGGAATGGAAACATTTCTGTTTTACATACTCTGAAAAATAACTAACATGTAATAATGGAAAGTTGATCATATTCAACATTTAATATGTCACCAATTCTTGATACATTCCTATGGTCAAATATTGATTTAAGCTAGGTTGAAATAGGTACTGGTTTAAATAAACCTTCAGTGCATGTAGGATTCCACAGGGCCTTGAAAAGAAGAAAACAAAAAAATGAATGAATGACATCAAATTAGTAAAACAAAATGAAATGAAATTTAATGTGAACATATAAAATGCTTGAACACTTAAATAAAAAACACAGACCAACATAAAACTGTTGTATTTATGATTTTCTAAGTCAAAACTATTAAAATTTACTAAAATATTTATATTAATAATGCTTACAGGTTCCCAACTTCAAATTAACTATGCCCTACTATTAAATACAAGAGGGAATTAAAGAGGGAAGATCAATAAGCTAAATTTTATTCTTTCCTTGATTTTGTAAAGTAGATTACAAAATAAGAGTTCTACTCCACTCTTTCCTCTTTGTATTCTTCGAATAGAAAACTTCAGAAAAATGAATGATTGAGTAGTAAGTAAGTCTCCCAAGGCTCTCCTGGCACTGCTGTAAACCCCTTTTAGTTAAAATCCAAGGTCCTAAACACACTGCTCCAACAGAATTTTGTCAATCTGCAGTGATTATTACTAAATTTCTATATTTTACTGCAGTTTTAAGTAATGTGAAACTAAAACATCTCAAAGCCTTTCATCTTAAAAATAAAAGGAGCTCCTTTGTTTAAATAATATGGATAAAAATAAATACAGGGTCCAAGAAGTGTAGAATATGGTACCTGACCCAAAGTAAGGTTGAATTTAGTTGGAGAGATATAAATACCTCCTTTAGTTTGATATATGGATATAAATATAGAAAAGATCATATTACAAGATGATTTTTATATGTAAGTGTATAGGACATGTGAACACATACAAGTATTTTTACACATCTATATGCATAAAACTACTGACCACTACAAGAAGCAGGGTATACAGAACAATGAGAAGTGCTGAAGAAGCTCTATGATATAAAAGATTACTTCCAATTTGGGTGGTCAAATCAAGAATATGATATTGGACCATGGCCCAAAAGGAGAGACCTGTTATAGGGGAGGGGTTATTCCAGATAAAATGGTTAAAACAACAAAACAAGCCAAAATAGTAAACAATAGGGACAAGATAGAGCAATGTATGTTGGAGTAATTTAAGTGGAATAAAAGGTTTATGTTTAGGAAAACTAGGAGCTAAACTTGAATAAATAGGTAAAGGTATAATTTTACTAGCTGTGGATGCTGCTTTGAGGAATGTGAATTTTATCATTTAAGCCTAGTGAGCTATTGAGAGAGAGTTTTAAATATAACACAACGTAAGCTTTGTGTGTGGTTTTATTTATTTATTTATTTATTTATTTATTTATTTATTTATTTATTTATTTTTTGCTTTATCTTTGTAAATCTGTTTGTGGTGCTACATAGATTAGAATGTGTATAGCCCTGTAAGTAGGAAGACAAGACCCCCCAAAATGTGAAGTCCTAAAGCAGCAAACAGTCTTAGAAGGTAACTATTCTTCATAATATGATTTCCTCTGTCAAGATGCTTGTTCCAGTTTTGTTAACAGTTGACCCATCTCTCAAGTTACAGCTCAAGGGCAACATCCTCAGAACAGTCTTCCCTGATGAGTCTTTTCTAAGCACAGGATCTCCTCTTCACCTGATTCATCTCTTTATCTCATCTTTCTGCTTATTTCCACCATGGGCCTTATCACTGTGAATTCTCTTGTTTGGTGCTCTCATTTCTAATTTACTGTCTGTCTTCATCCACTAAAATATAAAGTTTATAAAGAAAGGGAACTTCTCTATCACTCACTGTTAAAAACACAGTGCCTGGAATACCCCTATTTTTTTTAAATGATTGTATAAATGAAAAGGTAAAATATCTCATGACAAAAGTAACCACAGGGCTATAGCTGTACAGTATAGATAGGTGCAGCTATGTATTTGCCAACCGAACATTTATGAGAAAAGTCCGTGGAATCACTAAGACTACCAAATATTTAAAATATGCCCAGTGTTCAGACCTGCTCCCTAAATGCTAGCTGAGTCAGTGTGCAAAGACAGGGAATATTTTTTTATATTTTTTATGTATTTGAGAAATCTGGAATTCTGCCTTCCACAAAATATAGATTGCTCTAGTGGCCTGACCCACATCACAAACCTAGACTTAAGTCAGCCCACACTTGTGAGAAACACCTCACTGGTTAGAAAACCTAATGTATTCAATCACAATTCAACTAGCTTTAGCTCCCTCACCTTACCCTAAAACACAGGACTTCCCAGCCAGTCATGATCCATTTTGAGTTGCTGCTTCTAATGCTCTACAGAACTTGCTCTTGTCCAGAATGCCTTAGGGAGAGAGCTCCACTGCTTGAGAGGCACCGCACTCCACAATCCGTGGATGATTTCCTTTCAGTGAAGGACATCAAACTCATCACTAAATTCTATGCTTTTGTCATTGACCAGATTTGTGGTGAGGATGGAATCTGAAGAAACCTGCTGAAGATTCTGGGAATGGCATCCAAGACACAGGGTAAGGCACCCACAGAACTCTTTAGATCTGCTGCCTTTCTAGGACCTCCCATAAGCTTCTCTCAGATTGAGCTCCACTTATTTTGCATCCTGAGCTCTTCAAGGTTTTTTGTCCTGATCCTGCCTACTAGAAAATCAGGGTGTGAGAGATCCCAGATTTTCACAATGAGACCTACAGGTCTCAGGAACTGTGCACAGGCAGCCAGAAGTGGTAAATCTTTTTGAATTAGAAAATATTATTTTAACAACAACAACAACAACAACAATGGTTACCTCTCACTCTAAAGAAAACAGGGACATAGTGTCTGGGTTCTTGCCCTTTTTATGATAAAGAATTAAGGTGTAAACCACTTTACATTCCTAAAACACTGCCAAGAAATAACCAAAGATAATTTAGAGTTACAGTGGCCATTTTGGGGCTTTTATAACATAGGGGATATTATATACTTATGAAGAGCCTTTGAAGGTAGAGACTAAAACACTAAACAAAAAGATTGGGCTACTTTCTTTGATTAGTATGGTGAAGCGTAAGCTTCTAAATCAAAAATTGTGTCTTTTAAACAATCATTGCAAAAAGCCACTCCACAGTTAAAACAACATAAATTGAAAAAATCAGAAAAGGCACTATGCATACCAACTCTAATTCCAACTGTACCTCATTCTTTCACTTCCCTTCTTAACTACCCTGAGATTCTCAACTCACTGTTGGAGTTTCCTTTCCATTCTGAATATCTTTTCACTCAATTCCCTTTTTTTATCCTCACCTGAAAATATATTTTTATTGATATTTTTAGACAGAAAGGGAGAAAGAGAGAGAAAAACATCAATCTCAAAGAGAAACATCTATAGTTTGCCTCCCATACATGCCTCAGCTGGGGATTAACCCCACAATTTAGGTATGTACCCTGACTGGCAATCAAACTCACAACCTTTTGGTGTACAGGATGATATTCCAACCAACTGAACCACCTGGCCAGGGCATCAATTCTCTTTTAAAACTCGGCCAACAGAAAATCCTAATAAAGACAAGGATGCCCCTAAATTTATTCCCCAATCCAAGCCACTTTTATGCCATGGACCAAGGCTAAACTACGAATCACAGTAAAAGACTTCCTGAAACCAAAGGAGGATCCTCAAAAAATTTACAAAGGAATTTAGAATCCTGATCAATGCTTATTGCTGTACATCGTTCCAGGTCCCAGAAATGAAGAGAGTCAAGCTAGATGAAATCTAAAGGGGAACTGCAATCAGAAGCCCAAGCCGCTGCCAGAGATGCTAGATGAGCCTGTAAAATGGCTCAAGATTTTTTAAGGGCTGTTCCCAGAATATTCGCACTAAGAACAAACAGAACTCTAGTTCAATCTTGCAAATGAAAAAAAAAAAAGGATGAATCAGTAGCAGATTTTAGAACTAGATTTGAATCTTTATTTCTGAGATACTCAGGTTTTACTGAAACAACTTCCCCAAATCAATTTGTCCTCATGCCCCTTTTTCTGCATTACTTCTTCCCAGATCCTTCTAGTATGACCGGCTGAACAGACCAGAATGGGGAGTCATGAATACTGATGGAGTTTGTATTCTGGCTGAACACTTTAAATATACTTTAAAATTAGAAAAGAAAAGCCACCAAACCCATGGCCCTCCAGCTCTAAGGGCCTCAGTCAACAGACAAGCCACCTTAATATTTTAAACTTCAAGAGACCAGACCTAAACAAGCCTGGCCCTTAGCCCCATGTCACATATTTGAAGAGATAGGATATTGGAGAAAAAAAAACTGTCCCAAAGAAACATATGTTGCATACATCTTCCATACTTTAGAAGTGAATGACCTCAGTGAAGGGGCTCCTAGGGACATACACAAAAGCTGCTTTCTATAGTCCCTCTAAATGAACACAGAAAAATTCAAATCAAAATAAATGACAAAACATGTACAACTTTAGTAGATACAGGATTGGCCTTACCTATGCTAAGCCCCAGCATTTTAAAGCAGCCATTCTGAAAAATAAAAACAATATAAAATAGTGGGATATTCAAATAAGACACAAGGAGCCTACCCACCAAGCTGGCCCAGATGACTGACCCTAGGACCAACCTCCTGCGTACCTTTCTACTCTGTGATTCAACCCCTTTGGATTTAATCAGCCAAGACCTTTTATCTAAATTACAAGGGCACAAATTTCACTTCTGATGGAAAAAAAACCCTCAAACTCTCTGACCAACCTGAATCAGAATTATTATGTGCCTACAATTTGTTATAGAAGGTATTGAAGATGACTCACCCTATGAGACTAGAGTTACTTGAAGCTCCCTAGACTCTCGGGTAACTGTAGTAATAGATAGTGAAGAACCAAGAATGCTGAACACATAGAAGTCCAAACACACTCAACCAAACTTTTGCCTAAATTGCTTCAACATCCATTAAAATAAGAAGCTATGCACAGGTTCATCTTCATTATAAAATATTTAATTTCCAAGGGTTATTTTCCCCTTGCACCAACTAAGCCTTGTAACACTCCCATTCTTCCAATGAAAAAGCTGAAAGGGCAAGGATTATGAGTTGTCCGTGATCTAGGGGCAATAAATGAAGTTGTGATTCCTCATTTTCTAAACCCAACCCAAATACCTTGTTATCACAATTCCCAAGAGATCCTAAATGATTCACAGTGGTAAACTTATGTGCAACTTTCTTTAACATCCCTGTGGTTCCAAATAGACAATATTTATTTACATGGAACAATCAGCAATATACTTGGGCCATAATGCCTTAGGAATTTACTGAAGTTCCTGCATAATTTTCCTAAGCCCTCTATCCATATCTACCACCCTATGATTCCAACAGGGGTCCTCATTTTTATAGTATGTGATGACCTGTTGCTATATTCTTCTACTCAAGAAACCTCTAATTTAGACTCAGTAGAGGGTGGGGCAAAAGTAGGTTTACAGAGTTTATTCTCACACTATTATCTATTAACTATTGTATTACTTTCCATATGAATAACTGTCAACATACTTTGTCCCACCCTTTATTTACTCTAATAGTTGGCAAAGGTCACAAAGGAAAAATGTCAGTTTTGCAAACAGGTTGTTTAGTGTTTAGAATGTGATTTAAGTGTTTAGGAGATACTTTTTCCAAAGTGCATGCAATTAATACAAAACTTTCTAAAATCTCTCACACACACATGCACACACATGCACACACACACACACACACACACACACACATCCTTAGAGAGCTTTTAGGCCTGGCAGGATATTGCCAGCTTTGGATTCCTTCGGAAGCTTCCCTCTTTTATGGACTCATCAAAACCTCCACACCGAAACTGTACCATGGAAAAGAGAAGCATGAACAAGCACTTATTGACCTTAAAAAAGCCCTCCAAAATCCCCTGGCTTTTGGCCTACCCAACTATGATCAGTTTTTTTTCCTTCTTTTTTTTTTTAAATTTTAATTGTTGTTCGAGTACAGTTTTCTGCCTTTTACTCCCATCCCAGCCCACCCCACCAGCCCTCCCCACCTCCCTCTCATTTCCACCTCCCCTAGTTTTTGTCCATTGTCCTTTATACTTGTTCCTGTAAACCCTTCCCCTTTTCCCCTGAAATTCCCTTCCTTTCTCCCCTCTCCCCTCTGGTCACTGTCAGCCTGTTCTCTATTTCAGTGTCTTTGGTTATATTTTGCTTGTTTGTTTGTTTTGTTGTTTAGGTTCCTGTTAAAGATGAGATCATATGGTATTTGTTTTTCATCACCTGGCTTATTTCACTTAGTATAATAAGTGCTTCCCAGTTCCATCCATGCTGTTGCAAAGGGTAGGAGCTCCTTCTTTCTTTCTGCTGCATAGAATTCCATTGTGTAAAAGTACCATAGTTTTTTGATCCACTCATTTACTGATGGGCACCTAGGTTGCCTCCAGCACTTGGCTATTGTAAATTGTGCTGCTATGAACATTGGGGTGCTATGACCAGTTTTTTACCTTATTCCTCCATGATAGGAATAATCAGGCTTTAGGAGTTTTAACACAAGACCAAAGTGAAAGAATGAGACCTAGCTCATAACATAGCATGCAGTTAGACTCACTAGCTAGAGTTTTATACAAACTGTCTTAAAGAAGTCACAGCTGCAGCTAAATTAGCATAAGTCTCAGCATATCTGACCTTAGGAAATTATGTGTATCTCCAAACACTTTAGCTGTTCAGAGTCTTCTAAGCTCAGCTCCAACTCAACACCTTTCCTCAAGTAGGCTCTTCACTTGTGATCTACTTTTATCTCCATCTAACATACATCTTAAATGCAACCTTAATCCCATTACTTTACTTCCTTTATCAGGTAAGAGGAACATGGCTATGAGGCAGGTATTTTCCAATCAGTTACCCATGCCTAGATTCAAAGCATATACTCCCATATAATCCAGACTTAATTGTATATGTGTACAGGTCTGAAATAAGCAGGGGAAATATTAAATTGATTACACAGTCATTACTAACCATGAGTTAACTGAATGCAGATCTCTCCCACAATGTAGTTCAGCACAACAGGTGGAATTATTTGCCTTGACCAAAGCATGCATAATCATTCAAGAAAAATCAGTTAACACTGACACGAACAGCACTATGCTTTTAGCATGGTACCTGATTTTGGAATGCTATAAGAACCAAGAGGTTTTCTAACTTCAAGCAGCACTCCTATTAAAATTTGGTACAAACAGAAGAACTTCTCTCTGTCAGTTTACTTCCCTTTAAAATACAATATAATTAAGATTGAGACTCACACTAAAGGACCTAAGTCCCAGAATCAGGAAAATGTATTGGCAGAGTTTCATGCCAAAGCCACTGGATCCTGAGATTGATAAAATCCACTACATAGTTCAGAGGCCCATTAATTTTCTTACTCAACTTCTCACATCACAGGTCATCATTTCACAACAAATTACTTCTCCTCCAAGGAAACAGCAATACTAGAAAACAAAGGGTTGTAAATTCCATGAGACCTCCAAGCCTTGGAGAGTCAGGAAGTACCTGGCTCTCCCAGAGTCACTCAAGGTGTCCCTACTCCATACCTTATGCCCCACGACACACCAAAGAACAGAAAAAAATATGATATTGGTAGGGAAATTGCTGTAAGACTGCAACTAAAGTAATTAATTGGTATAAGACCTGTCAAATTCATAACCCCAGTAAGCTATCCAAGTTTCAGGGGAACAACTCCATCACTGATGAAACCATTTGAACATGCAACTGGATGTCATTCAATTGCTCTGGCACAAGGCTATCAATCTGTACTAGTTACTGATTGCTTATTTTCTGGATGGATTGAGGCCTTTCCCTATAGAAAGACTGATGCCCTTTCTGTTGCCCCCCACCAAAAAAAATAGAACATGTTATCTCAACTTGAGATATACCTAGATAAATTTCCAGTGACTAAAGGATCTTTTTTCACCGGACAAATTGTGCAGGCCATCAACAAGAGTCTCCATATCGGGTGGCATTGCCATTGCCCCAACCTTCTTCAATCAGCAAATAAAGTTTAAAAAAAAATAAGGGCATGGTCAAACTTGAACTATCAAAGTTTTCAGACTCCACAGAATTCCCATGGCCTAAAAATCTTCCTCTAGCCCTATGTACTATAGGGAGAACATCAAATGGAAATTACAAGTTAACTTCTTATGAAATTATCACAGGGAGACTGGTGTCACTTCTGGTCAAACCTCATATTGACATTCCTCTCATTTATACCAAAATGGTACATTATTGCAGATCTCTAAAGGTGCATTTCCAACAGGTTGAGGAAGACTTTCCCAACCCAGAGTCCATTAACTTTCCTCCCCACAACCTGAAACTTGGGTCTCATGAAAGAGACATAAAACAAGTCTGCCTTTGTACCTCGGTGGAAGGAACTCTATCAAGTGCACCTCACTACCAACACAGCTGCTGAACTTCAAGGCATCAGACCCTGGCCCCACATGTCTCAAATGAAGAGGGCACAACCTGCTTCATGGACTTGAGCTCTGGCCACTAGCCTTCAGTCCACATAGACTATTTCCACCCAAGATGTCAAATCATAACTTCATACTTCAACCTCAAACATAAAACACTTCCTTTTTCTTTTTCTTACCTTTACATTGGCACTGGCTAGGAAAGATAATGATGTTATGTGTACCTCCCCCAGGACACCACTGATGGGGATATCCTTTCAGATTACAGGATTTGTCATAAAAAACTCTGATCTTTCCATGATGTTAAAAACATCCTGGTCCTCCCTGTGACCATTTTTTCCTCCATTCCTAATGTCACCATAAACTACAATCAAATACCCTTAGAAGTTACTTAAAAGTCTGACTTTGACAGTCAAAACTCCCTGTGCCTTACTTTAATCTCTCCCTTGTCATTATCATATGAACTCAGACAGACGAGAATAACTTTAAAAACATTCTCACGGCCATGTTCTTATGATTAAATACAAACTGCCCCTGGCCTAGATATGCAACTTTTTCTGCAACTACCTGCCTTGGCAAAGAGTTTAGTACATTTATTTTAGAATAGAAAATTATCTTCCCAAATGTGATGAAACCTCACAGATCCATGCTTAACTGAAAAAACCCCTGTCGATGAGTCCATTAATAACACTACTTTAATGGGAGCAGCGTGTGCTCCAGCAGGGTTGATTTTTGTCTGTAGCGTTTTTAAGGGAAAATATTCTTCTCAGGTCTATCTATGGATGCCCAGATGGCTAATGCTTAACAAGAGAGTGTCATTTGCATTATCTAATTGTACTTCTAACATTCCACAATCAAACAGACTTCTCAGTAGTCAATTCCCTTCAATTTACATTATTGAACAAAACAGGAATTACCATGAGGCATTATGATTCACGATTCACTTCCTTTGGCAGATCCCTACTCCCCCGGTTAGGTGTAAGTGCAAATGAAGCTATGATCCGGAACCTCTCCTTAATTCTTGAAGATATGGCAGAATCTACTGCTATAGCAATAGCTTCCCAACAA